TATTCTAACTGAGGATTAAAGATGACCTGAAGGTTTCTGACATGAATGACTTTGATGCTTGATGACACCATTTCCCTAAAAAAGATTATAGAAGGAGGAATTATTTGATGAATATGTTCTACTTGTCTTTTTATTTTTAAATAATTTTTGGTTATCTTTAGTCAGTTGTCTCTGCGAAGTCAAAAAGTATATTGTTAATCTACTTGCATTAATATTTTGTAGGCAAGAAGTAGTCCTGAACTACTGCCTTCTGGTGTGACTGATGAAAATGAGGTGACTACAGCTGTTACTGAAAAAGTTTGTTCTGAACTCGATAATAACAGACATTCAAAAGAGGTAAAAATAATTTTATATTAACATTGGAGACTCATAAGGGTGGAAGGACAGGAGGAGGTGAATTATCAGACATTACTTAATGGGTACAATATACATTATTCAGATGACAGATACATCAAAAGCCCCGACTTTACCATTAGGCAATATAGTGATGTAACAGAATTCCACTTGGACCCCTTGAATTTATACATATAAAATAAATAAATAATAAATAAATGTTCTTAATAGCTGGATGTGGTGGCAAGTGCCTGTAGTCCCAACTACTCAGGAGGCTGAAGTAGGTGGATTGCTTGAGCCTGAGCTGGTGGCACTAGGCAACATAGAGAGACCTTATCTCTAAAAATTAAATGATATATTTTAAAAATGTCCTTATCACTGTTTTCCTTAGATGAATTATACACTATTTTAGGTGAAGGAAAGAGAAATGTGTTAAATGTACTTTATGACTAGAGAAATATTTGTTACATTACCATCAGTTGATTTTTCTTTTGTTTTCGAGACTAAGTTTCACTTTGTCGCCCAGGCTTGAGTGCAGTGGCGCGATCTCGGCTCACTGCAACCTCCACCTGCCAGGTTCAAGCGATTCTGCTGCCTCAGCCTCCCAAGTAGCTGGGACTACAGGCATGTGCCACCACGCCCAGCTAATTTTTGTATTTTTGGTAGAGAACAGGGTTTCACCATGTTGGCCAGGATGGTCTCTCTCTCTTGACCTTGTGATCCGCCCACATCAGCCTCCCAAAGTGCTGGGATTACACGTGTGAGCCACTGTGCCCGGCCCATCAGTTGATTTTTCAAAGCATGTGTATGACCTGAATATATGTTATTTTATTTTAAAATGTTACCTTTTAAAACTTTGGTTTCTCAAAAAAAATTTTAATTAAAAATTATTTTTAGGAAGATCCATTTAATGTAGACTCAAGTTCGCTGACAGATCCAGTTGCAGATACAAACTTGGATTTTTTCCAGTCTGATCCTTTCGTTGGCAGTAAGTACTCTTTTTTTTTTCTATTATAGTTTTACCCAAAAAAAGGCTTTGTAATATATAAACTAAGGATTAAGGCTTTGGTTTCAATAGCCTACCAACTCAGTCTGTCACCCAGGCTGGAGTGCAGTGGCACAATCTTGGCTCACTGCAACCTCCACCTCCTGGGTTCAAGCAATTCTCCTGTCTCAGCCTCTTGAGTACCTGGGGCTACAGGCGCCCACCACCACACCCGGCTAACTTTATGTATGTATGTATGTATGTATGTATGTATGTATTTAGAGATGGAGTCTCGCTCTTTTGCCAGGCTGGAGTGCAGTGGCACAATCTTGACTCACTGCAACCTCTGCCTCCCGGA